TAAAAGGCTTAGTTACAAAGGCATTTGCTTACATCTTCCTTCCTCATCTTGCTTTAGGACCATTCCCTTTTACCGTAATCTCTTTTTGCTAATTACTCTTACCATTCTGAGTAACAACTATTAATGCCGTGATCCTTTTTAGAGATTTCAAAAGATAATGATTAGCTACCTCCTTAGCATATTTATTCTTAACTCTTGCTATCTGGCTGGCCTCCACATCTGTGCACAGCAACGATTATCTCCAAAATCTTTCAGACATTAAAACAAACAAACAATGGCCCTATCTTCTCTTGGTTCCCAAACCCACCTTTCTGGTAGCCCACACTACTGATGCTCATGAAGTTTGATATTTTACTGTTTAGTAAGAACTCCCAGCACTTACAGTTTGGCAGCTCAATTTGTTTTTAAAATATTATACAAGTATTACTTAATGAAAGAGGCATTAAAGCAGTACAAAAAATTTAGCTGACATCACTGCCGCCTGGCAAACAGGTTGCATAAGCACTTTCCTTGTTATGAAAATGGGAAAAACTTCATAAGCAAGGTATGAAAGGTTCAAGGACTTTCCCAGGGCCACAGAAAGATCCTGCCAGATCTAAGATCAGAACTCAGGAGTTGTTGAATTCCAGTCTTGGGTTTACACCATACAATGTTCTTTTGGGTGAGTTTTGAGTATGTGCAAGACGCACATAGTAGTGAGAGGGTAACTGAATTCTCTTGGCATAGAGAAGAATGGAATGAGAGGACTGAGCCAGTGCATATAAAAGATATTCCCTTTCCATTAACAACCGTAGAGTTTAATACTCTATTTACATAAATCCAGGCAAAATATGATTTGTTTCTTTGCACTGATGATAAAGAAAGAAAATAAAAGTCTTCCATTCCACGCATCTCCTGTTTCACCTACCTAAGTGCAGCTTATCCTTCTTAAAAGTAAACACAGACGAGAATGCATTTATCTGGGGACCAACTCAATCCAGAAGCATGTTTTTGGAATTATTGTATTCTATTGGCCATGACCCCAACTTATTTTTCTTTCTGATAGACAGCTTGTACATGACTTAGGTGAGCAAGAGCTGTATATGAAGTTCACTGGTACTTAATGATAATGGAACTTTGTATTACTGAGTTCAAACTGTAAGCAGGAAAAATACAAAATGTGTCCACACTTGAAAGTTCATAATTTTGTACTGTCTTGAACAAAAAAGTTTTACAGTCCTTTTAAACAAACTATGTCTTCTCAAAATATAAAACAGACCTGGGTCTCCATGGTGACAAATTGTGTAATTTAGTTAATAAATGGAAGGATATTCTTCTAACCAGAAATGATTAGGTAGAAATGTAGAAAGACTCAATTTCTTACAAAAGCAATAAGAGGGCAGAGTTACTGTTCAGAATGCTCATAATGTGGAACATTTTGATAAGCAATTTTATCTGTGCCTATTCTTACTTTTGCTGGGGTATTGAGAAGATACAGGCCAGTATACTAATGCATTACAGGTAGCTGTATGCCTTATTCATTAAGGCACAATTGGTTTCTCATGGAAATCTCTTTCTTCACTCACTGTATCATAGAAGAAAGTTTTGGATACTGCCAATCTACAGACTCCAGTCTGCCTCTACCATAAGGGTGTGCTGTTATTAAATTTTGTTACTCAACAATTTGTTTTTATAAAGAAAGCAAATGCATAATTTGTCTGGGAAGTTTTTCCAAAGAGTGACATCTCAAGTTTATTTGCAGATAAACAAACCTTCAGTTTTTGTCTAATGCTAATTTACTAGGATACATTTACATAGCAAGACTTTGCATAGTGTTTTTCAAGATTCATTATGATGTTTTTTAGGTCCATTCTCCATGACACCTTCAGATAGAAACAAGAAAGGAAAGGAACACAAGGACTAAACCAAATCAAAGTATTATCATTCCTATTAGATAATCCTCCATCCTGTTCCACCCCCTGCTCCCCCCTGTTGTGGTGCATTCATGTAATGAAGGAGAAGAGAATGTAAGTTAGAAAGAAGCAAGGGAACAGCTTGCTGGAAGGAGAAGCCAAGCTGCTTTGATGGGGTCAGAGCAAAGGGACTTTTCTCCTTGTGTCTCAGACAGGATATAGGATGTTGTTTGATTTGGCTTGTTTAATTAGTGACTGAACTTTGCTTTGGAGAACTGGCCATGGAGCTCATAAGGGAGCATACTCTCCTGCAGAAGCCAGCAGGATAAAGGACCTCCTTACAAGCACCAAAACTCCTAGGCTCCTGAGATGCACTACACGGAACGACTGCAAGGGTTATTTCTGCTTTTAAACCAATGACTGTATAGTGTAAAATTCATAAGCAGTCCTTGTAGCAGGGACTGGAACTTAGGCCTCCCCCCACCCAGGGAATGCCCTCCTCAATGAGTCAGAAAGTCACATTTTATTCATCTTGCGCTCCTTCTGGGCCTTCAAATATTGCATCTTGGCTGCCTACTGAGTCAGTTTCAAGAAGGGAAGAAGGAAGAAGACATCTAACCTAATTCATAGTCTGATGGTTATGACACTCTTCTGACTACTGGAAGAGACAGATTTGAAATCCCTCAGTGATGTGGGGTCCATAATCCAAGCTTCCCACTTCCTGAGCAAATGCTCTTGTCACTAGGCTATGGGCAACCCCATCACTGATGTGAGTTATACTGAGTGCCACTGTCAGATGAACTGGTTCAGATAGCAACTCTCCTCTGAGTGATAGGGATCCCAACATGATGGAAGTGCCTCAATCAAAGCCCAAGTAAGACACCTAAGGACTGAGGAAAAGGAAGAGTTCAGATACATCTTCGTGTTCAGCATTTTTATTGACTAGTTACAAGGGCCTCCAAGATGAGCAAAAAATAAGCTGGATCAACCTAAGGGATGCTGTGAAAGGTTTCCTTTTACACTGTTCAGGAAGCCTTGGTGCCTCTCCTGTCAACTTGCATCATGTATTTTCTTGCTTTAGTCTTAAATACATTCATTAGCTGCTGTTTAGATTAGAGCAAATGGTCATTAAAATAATTATATTTAAAGTGCAGTTTTACCCTATGTCAGGGCTAAGCAACCTGTTTTGTCTTTGCAGCAGCACAGGAAGAGTGAAGCAAAAAAATATTAGAATAAGTAAAAAATGGGGGTCGGACTTGATGATCTATTGAGGTCCCTTCCGACCCTAACATCTATGAATCTATGAATGTTTCTAGGGCAAAGCTCCTAAATTTGAGATACTGGTGTGTGAGAGAGAGCACCCTGAATGCTGATCAGGATCTGGTCCTAAGTGCCTAGCTCCCATTGACTGTGCATGAGAGCAAAGTCCTCAATTGCTGTTTGTGACACTGAAATCACATTAATCTGAGCCTGCAAAACATTTAAATACGAGGATCAACTTTTAAGGATATGAGCAATTTCACTGAAGTCAATGTATCCTTGGATTTTATTGCACAGGGAGAGGAATGTCATATGAGATACTGACAATGGACAACACTTCATAAAAAGACACAGAGGTAGGAAGAGGAGATGAATGGAACCAGAAGGCAAGAAGAATGGGTGATAAAACAGTTTCAGAAGTCAATAAACAAGATGATTAATTACAGTAGGCAAGATATAAAAGGGAAATTAGAAAAGTGGAAAAATGAACGGGAGTTTTTTAAAGCATATAGAAGCAGGAAGCCTGGTAAGATGATGATATTTCTGATACGTCACCCTGTATATGTGCTTTTCTGGCACTAACTAGAAAGTAATCTGAGGGCTCTGAGAAGGAGGGTTGGACTAAACTGACCATTTAAAAAGCAGTAAGTCACCAAGCCCAGATGGTATGTAGTCAAAGTTTAAGTATAAAGTATCTGAGGTGCTGAAAAAAGTATGCAATCTCTTACTAAAAACAGCTACTTTCCCATGGGATTGACAGATAGCAAATGTTGTATTTGTATCTAAGAAATGCTCTAAGAGTGGTCTTGGGAACTGTAGACCTAAAATCTATAACTAGGAAATGAGTTGAAATGAAAAGTTAAAACAAAATAAAAATGCCAGGAAAATCACAGTGTGATATGGTTTAACTAGCATAGTTTCTGCAAAGAAAATGGGGTCCTGCTGTTTTATGCACACTTAAATTGATGATTTTTAGTCAGTTTCACCAATTATGCAGTTGAATGTAACATAATTGCATTAGAAAGTAGACAGTGGCAATGAAGAGTTCTTATGCACTTAAGTTGTGCATGCCCTTAACTGATATGCAAGTAACCAATGATTATTCCAATGTAAGCAACAGGCAAAATTTAGGACTGGCAACTAGTAATGCAGTTAATCAAGTTATGCATTTACCCAACAAGCAAATGGAGTACACTGTTCTGGACTACATTGACAAGTCCCATATTTATTAGCACAGTAGTATCACAGATCTCAATTTCTGAACTAGGAGCATAATTTGGAAAAGTTATAGGAATTAGACCAGCTTAATAAAAACAGTAGGGGTGTTTGCAAATAAAAAACTCCCAAAAAACAGTGCTTTACTTTAAATTTGGCATGTTTCTTCACTGAGCCTAGTGCATGGCCAGAAGAGGCAGCATGATACTTCAACCCGGTTCTCCTGATATATGTAAAGATCAGGTGCTTTAGTGGGGCTTTTTGTGTCACTTTTATGTAATAGCTTTAGATAAAAGTGACAAAAAACCCACTGAAGTGCCCAACCTATACAGATGCTGCAGAGCCTGGCTAAAGTAATGCACTGCTTCTTTCGGTAAAGCACTTATTTTTTTTTATGTCTGCAAAAAGCCTTGCTTTCTAGGATGCTTCATGGGCCTAGTTAAGATTCTACTTCTAATCTTAGCATTTATTTGTTCACTGAATTCTCAAAAGTAGTTTACAAGCCTAACAGAATTGTCAAGTAGTCATTTTTAAGGACAGAGATTGGATTAACCAAAATTGGCAAACAAAAAGAAAAAAAAAACAAACTCCACAAAAAACACCATATGGACAAGAAGAGTGGAAAGGAATTACTTGACCAAGTGCTTGATTAAGATGTCCAGCATCTCCCTGTTTTTCTCTGGTAATTTATGAACAAGTGCATGCACTGCTTCCACTCTGTAGTTTTGGTCATCAGATTCTGTTAAATAAAAAGAGAAAGAGGCACATGTGTTAAAACAGCTTCAATACCTGTACCTAGCACACAGCATACATTACAGTAAGAAACCACCATCAACCTGCCATTAAATGAACGCCTCCCCCCACAACAAAACAAACAAGAACAAGACTTTTTAAAAATATGACAACAATATAGTCATGTTTCATATGCAAACATTCTGGGAATTTTTTTTTAAATACAGGCAGTCCTTGACTTCTGACTTTTTGAGTTATGACAAATGGTATTTACGACATTTGTAAATTGACACCCTGTTTCGAGGTTCTGATGCAGGTTTCGCCTTTATAATGGTTGACACGGCTATGTTCAGCTGGTAAGTCTGTTGCGGTGAGGGGGATGGGGGAGGGAAGGGGCGTGCAGGGGCAGATCAATGCCCCCACAGTGAGAGAGGGATTGGGGCTGGGGCAAGTGCTGCCCAGCGAGGGGATGGGGCAACTTGCACTGCTGTACACCACCAGTCCAGGAGCTGCTCATATAGTGGCTTGTCCAGAGGCTCTCACAGCTGCTCCCACTGCTGGCCTGGGAGGGCATGGGGCAGGGTCATGTGCCCCAGGATCTGCACGGCGTGGGCATAGCTAGGGCTGTACTCCAGGTGGAAGGCACTGGAGTGGGGACTATGCCTCCCTGCTGCTTGCCTAGCTGGTGCAGGGCTGGCGCGAGACTGAGCTGCTGCGCGGCCTCCAGACAAGCAGCGCCCAGCGGTGGGAGACAGCCCAGCCTCCCTGCACCTTCCAGATGAGCAGCAGCTTTGCCCCGGCGGGGCAAGCGGTGGCAGAGCATGGGGAGAGGGGGGGCGTGTGCCTCCGGACTGGCGGGCAGCAGATTAGGGGTTATGGCAGGGCTGCAGCAAGTTTTTCAGTGGCACACGCCTGCTCCCCCATGCCCTTCTGCCACTTGCCCAGCTGAGGCAAAGCTGCTGCTTGTCCGAGAGGCGTGGGGAGGCCGGGGTGGCTCCCACTGCTGCACGCTGCTTGTCTGGGGGCAGTGCAGTGGCTCAGTCTTGTGCTGGCCCTGCGCCAACAGGCGGGCATAGCCCCCACTCCCAGCAACTTCCACATTCCACCTTCCACCCAGAGCACAGCCCCGGCTTCGCCTGCCCCACGCAGGTTCTGGGGCACACGCCTCTGACCCATGCCCTCTCGGGCTGGCGGCAGGAGCAGCAGCGAGAGCTGCTGGACAAGCCACCACAGGAGCAGCTCCCTCCCCCCCCACCACCACAGACTTACCAGCTGGATGCAGCTGTGTCGACCATTGTAAAGGAACCAATCCCCCATTTATAACATTGTTCCTATGGGAAAATTGGTTCCAAGTTACGACATTTCGACTTAAGACGCAGTTTTCAGGAACCAACTGTGTTGTAAGTCTGAGGACTGCCTGTAGCTTAAATAATAACAATGGATAAAATCCTGGTCAGGGAAATTATATCTATGACCTCAAAGGAGCCTGTATATGACCAGTAACCTTTAACTTTGTCAAAACTTGTTTTGCTTTTATTCTCATTGAGGCATGAGAGCAGATGGAGATAGTTATAAATACATTAAATTGCCAGGCATCTAAAAAAGATTTTAAACAATTAAGGCCAGGCACAGGTTTCTACCAGGAGAACTGCAGCTCTTCTAGGAGAAACTATGTGTACAGGTGCTCACAGTTTCTCCCAGAACAAAAATGGCAGTTTTGGAAGAAAAATAACCCATCCATGACCCAGGAAAGGGGAATTCCTCCCAGGAAAATGAACACCTATACACTTCCTTGCTGCCTGACTCCTTCCAGGGACCAGGAGGAGTTGAGCAGTGGGGAAGTGCTCCCCATGCTTTCCCCAGGCTGGGCTCACTCACTGCTCCCTGCCTGCTTTTTCTACTGGAGTCTCTGTGTTTCAGTTGCTTAAAACTTTATCAAACTTCAGTTCTTTGAAATTAGTCCACTTTTTAAAAGAACTTTATCTAAAACAATGAAGGTATTTACAAGAATGGTGCTATGGAAAATGTGTCGTGCTCCCCCCCCCCCCAACCATTTTCCTTTGAAACACTCTAGCACAGTATGTTGTGGAACACGCACCCTAGATTATGCTAGCAATAACCGTTGTGTCATTTATAGTCCCTAGGGAAAGCCACTCAAATGATGAAGTTATAAGTTTTATGAAATAACACTCTGAGCATGCTTTGTAGAGTCTCACTAGAACTTTGCAGATCCAATCCTTGAAGATTCTGTTACAAGCATACCCTGTCTGGGGCTGTAGGGTTGAGTTAGACTAACCCCGTAATTTAAGTCTCCCACTGCTCTAGGTCCCACATATCCTGGTTTAAGCATCAGAACTGAAAGCGGAGACCTAGTCTCTCCTAAATTGTCTTGCTTGCCCTCAGGCAACATGAAGGATGAAACTGCCTCATCTGAATGTTGAGTGGAAAAGAGTCAGACTTGGACAGGAGAACAGAACACTCCACAGCAAAGGCAACAACATGAGGACTGAAGGCTGAAGTGGGTGGGGGGTGGAAACTGGGTTTGAGAGCTGTAGAAAAAAGACCAGGGTGGATTGGGCAAAAAATCTGGCACTGGAAGACGGAAAAGAAAAAAAGGGATTATTACTGGAAGCCACTGGACTGGGTTAGGAAGACTGAGGAGCTGTGGAATTCTACAGACAAGGAGACCAGCACCGGGGAGAGTAGGATAAGCAGTGGTGACTAGAAGCTACTAGGTAAGACAAATAAGACTAGGATGAGGATACAGAAGGATAAATGACATTACAAAAGAGGCCAAACTTAAGGGAAGTGGATGGAGCCTGGCCCATGAAGGCACACTCCTTTCCACACCAAGATTTTTGAGGGCAACCATTCCTTTGTTGTAAGCAAATATCTATGAAGACCACTTTCAAAGTGTCCTATCCTCCCTTAAGGCTTATCCCACTCATTTTATATGGGACTAGAAAAATTGCATGAGATCATCTGTGCAACCCTTGATCTGGCCTCCTTATACATATGCATTATGTTCAAGTCTTTGGTTATATGATTTACATACAATTTTTAGAACAAGACTAATTCAGTGTACAGGGTGAACGTGCCTTGTTGAATCAGGGTGCATAACAGAAGAGTCTGCCATTTGTAGGTTCCCTGCTTCATTTGTTGCAGAAGTCAAAAGGTATAAAGTGAATGAATCAGGGAACTACAGGAAAAGAAGCCATGATGTCTCTTGGTTAAAGCAACTGAAAGCTGCCCTGAAGAACTGGACTCTAGCTCTGCACGCATATAGATTTCCTACACAATGTTTGGCAAGTAACTTAACTAAACTATTCATAGCTGGTCACTAGATACCTAATTTGAGACCCTGAGACCTGATTTCAGAAGTCCTAGGCACTTCCAATTACAACTATAGTCAACAGGAATTGTGCCTCAAATATGAAAGGTACTATATAAATTAATATATTAATATACTAATATTACAGTCCCTTTCAAATGATATCCTAGGAGTCTTCATAGAACACATAAAATAGTGTACATATTTAATTTTATTCTCTGTAGCTCAGTTTCCCATCTTTATGAAAAGATAATGCTACCCCTTCATCTCAAAAAGTTGTTGTGATAATAAATTTGGTATTAATGAAGCACTTACAAGATGCTACAGCGATCAGCAGGGTCCTGATCTGGCATGCTGGAGCACAATTTGGGTCCAAACCCATATGCTAGGGTTGAGGCTGTGCACTAGGGTGGGGCCACATAGAGGTTTGACCATGGACTGACCCTGCACACCAACCTGATGCAGCATGCACAGCACAGCATCATTTTAGCCAGCCACAAGGCTCTCCAGGGGTCCTGAGATTTGGGAGCAGGAGTAATAGCAATGTTAACTGCCATGGCTCCCAGAACCACACTGAGTGTCATGGCAATTAATGGGGATCTGTATTTCTTGCATATAATGTGCCCCTGAATTTCCCCCATACGATCTGGGGGAAAAACATGCATGTTTTATGCAACCTCCCTTCCCCCATTTTATATTTACTGCTGACACATACTGCTTACACGTATGCTTGCACATGCATGCATGCACGCACATGCAAATGCACATACACTTCAACTGTAAGCTCCCCAGGATTATTGTGCTTGTAGAGCACATATAAGAGTGAGGACTATCATAGTGGGTCAAAGTGCTACTGTGTTAACATAAGAAATCATACCCCATACCTCTTAAAATCCAGTACTTTGAGTCATTCCCTGGGCCATTTAAAACAAAACTGGAATAGGTACATCAGGAAATTTTTCTTCAATATTGGTTGTTGAGAGAGATGGATTTGGATCATTTTCATGAAGACATATTAATTTATTTAGCATTTTACTTACTAACAGCAAGAATGAAATCCTTGTGCAACTTGAAGGTCATTAGTGGTTCTGTAAGGCACCTGGTCATAAAATTTAAAAAGCAGATTTTAGCAATCTGATCTCTTTTTTAAACCTTTTCCCACACTTTTTGTCATTATAATTCTAAGTAGAAACCTTTACGTTTCCAAATTTGTGTTTGGAAACTAATATTTACATCCCAGCCAACTTGATTCACTGCCTATAGGCTAACAGCACAGCATCATTCAGTCATAGCTAAGGCCTGGTAAAAATCTTTTCTAGCTAAATTCAGGGCCACTGTAAGAAAAAATGGTCTAGCAGCAATCTTTAGCAAAAAAGGCCTTTTCTTTTAACTTATACTGCTGTAAATCAGAAAAAAACTCTGCTGAGCCCACGTGTAATTTTTACTGAAGATGGAATACTGAAGAGACCATCACATTTTAAGTCTCAACAGAAATGTCTACATGAGAAGTTTACTACGTAGTTGACTTACATGTGCGTCCCTTTTAGGCTGGAGTAAACTAATTTACTCTGCAGCTGGATAGTACTTATAAATACAAGTACTGTTCTGCTGCACAGTAAAATGTTCTGCAGCACCACAAATGCCCTGGCTGGCTGGGCCACAAGGGTGCTTCAGTGTGGGGGCTGCCTGCTCTCTGGCGCCACAATGAACCACTCTTGTGCCCTGGCCAGCCCCTCCACAGCACGTTTTACTGGGAGGAGCAGCCCTGGGCTGGCAGGCTGACTCCTTGGGCCCCTTGCCAGCTGGAGATGCTTAGTCCAAGCTCAACATGTTGCGATCCTGAGCGCATGTGCAGATGCACGCCCAGCAGCAATAAATTTCAGTGAGATAAGCACTGGAGTTTATTGCGGCACATGAATAGGTATGCGTAGATGTGCCCAATCCTTAGCAACTTCAGTTTGGTACCAACATACTGATACATACTGAACTGGAAAGACTCTTCTTTTAAAAGGCAATTTCTAAATCATAGTAATAAAAATCACTATTGTTGACATTGCTTATTTTAAAACTACAAAAGTAAAAAAGACAGTGATTTGTATGAATAAAGAAATGGCACCTTCTATTCTTTTTCACTGTGGCCAAACCCTTTCTGTTAGTATTTCCATTACAAGTCTTGATAGTGACCCTAAGCCATGTGGCTTTTAGAGAACTTAATGGGCACATCTACATGAGATACTTTACAGCACAGTAGACTAGTCTTCAGTTCCCACCCAGCTGGGGGCTCACTGGCAGCTGTCCCACCAGAAGGACAGCTCCCTGCCAGCCCCTTGTTGCGGGGTGGGGGGAAGCTCCCTTGAGCACCAGGTTGGCTGGCATCAGTGTCTGGATGTGCATGTGGTGGGAGAGCTCTGCCAACTGCAGGAGCAGCTGTCTCCCGGCCCCTGCACATCAGGACCCCTCCCATGCAGAGCTCTCCTGGCACCATGCCCCTTGCCAGTCCCCAGGCTAGCACCCTGGGGGAGCCTGGGACTCCCCATGGCTGCTGCAGGGGGGCAGAGTAGGGCAGGAGCAGCCCTGTACCAAGTTGTTCTTATTGGGAGCAGATTAGCTTCCAGCAGGGTGCATGTGTAGTCATGCTTCCAGGGAAGGCTTACTGCACAGTATTTTACGTGCATTAATAGCATGTGTAGATGTGCCCAACCTTGAGTAACTTCAGTTTGGTACTAACATACTGATACATACTGAACTGGAAAGACTCTTCTTTTAAATGGTAATCTCTGAATCATAGTGATAAAAATTGCTATTGCTGACATTATTACTTTTGCAATTTTAAAATAAGCAAAGACAGTGATTTGTACTGATAAAGTAATGGCATCTATTTTTTTTTCATTGTGGCCAAACCCTTTCTTTTAGTATTTCCATGACAAGTCCTGATAGTGACCCTAAGTCATGTGGCTTTTAGAGCATTCACTCTCTGATAACTTGGTTCTTTTAACATGTCCCAAGTTGGGATCCAAACACAGAGGCACCCCCAGGTTGTTTCTGAAAATCTTGACTCATATATAAATGTATTTGTTAATTGTTAAATGCTTGGAGGTAGTTGACTAATTTGGGGGATACATTTTTCCTAGCCTTTTGAAACAATCAATATCACAGACTAAAATATAAGAATTAATGTTTTTACAGTTCTACAATTTTTTATCCTACTTGAACCAATTTGTGAAATGTCATGCTGTGTATGCTGTTTAGATAAAAGATTTAACAAATTAGAAACATTCATTATTTTCTGTCTTGGAAGGTGAGAAAAAAGATGTATAAATTACTACAAGCAATTAACTTGTTCTATTCCAAATATAAAATTCTACAAGAACAGAACCAGAAGATTGTATGACCAAATGGAGATATATTAATAAAAATTGCTGGGATATTAAATAAGACAAAATGATGCATCTTTAGTAGTGTTTTCATGAGTGCAAGAGATGTAACATAATATTAATAAACAAAGATTAACAGGATACAAGGAATATGCATATTAATGTAGAGTACCATACTCACCTGAGGTAGTTTTTAAGTCCACTTGTTATTGTTTTGTTGTCCCAAAGTTCCATATCAATATCCATATCGGGAGGGGATTTAGGGGCTGGTAAAAATTGAATGAGCGTGTTATACTTTGATTAACAAGATAACTAGAAAAGCAGCACATTAAATAGTTGATCATATAAGGCATTCAATTAATCTGAATACTTTATGCCCAAAATAACTAACAACTTGAGCACATATTAAAAGCTTCTACACCCTGTGAAAGTATTAATAAAATGAACAGTTTTTTAGTATATGGGCATGTCAGCTATGTGTAAAAATAACAGAGCAAACGGTAAACCAAAGTTGGTATATGGGTTCTGATGCAGAGTAATCTTCAAAAGGAGGGTGCACAGAGACAAACTGGTAAGGTAAGAAAAACTCCAGGACCACAAGAAGAATACAGTTATAGACTAAGATACTGTTTGAAGGTCAGGGACTATTTAGAAAAACTGGACATATACAAGTCCATGGGGCTGGATGGGATGCACCCAAGGGTGCTGAGGGAGTTAGCTGATGTGACTGCAGAGCCACTGGCCATCATCTTTGAAAACTCATAGTGATTAGGAGAGGTCCCAGATAATTGGAGAAGGGCAAACACAGTGCCCATATTTAAGAAAGAAAAAGGAAGATCCAGACCAGTCCAGGAATTACAGACCAGTCAGCTTCACCTCAGTCCCTGGAAGAATTATGGAATAGATCCTCAGGGAATCCATAACTAAGCACTTGGAGGAGAAAAAGGTGATTAGGAACAGTCAGCATGGATTCACCAAGGGCAAGTCATGCCTGACCAACCTGATTGCCTTCTATGATGAAATGAGTAGCTTTGTGGATGCGGGGAGACGAGTGGATGTAGTAAACCTTGCTTTTAGCAAGGCTTTTGATACGGTCTCCTACAACATTCTCTCAGGCAAGCTAAGGAAATACGGGTTGGTTGGATGAATGGACTCTTAGGTGGATAGAAAGCTGGCTGGAGCAGCAGGCTCTGAGGGTAGCTCAATGGCTCGATGTCTAGTTGGCAGCTGGTATCAAGTGGAGTGCCCCAGGGGTCAGTCCTGGGGCCAGTTTTGTTCATGTTTCCATCCATAACCTGGAAGATGGCATAGAGTGCACCTTCAGCAAGTTTGCAGATGACGCCAAGCTGGGGGGTGGGGAGGGGTAGTAAATATGCTGGAGGGCAGGGCTAAGATTCAGAGTGACCTTGACAAATTGAAGGACTGGGCCAAAAGGAATCTCATGAGGTTCAACAAGGACAAGTGCAAAGTCCTGCACTAAGGACGGAACAATCCCATGATTGGTACAGGCTGGGGGCTGACTGGCTGGGCAGCAGCTCTGCAGAAAAGGATCTGGAAGTTACAGTGGACAATAACCTGAACATGAGCCAGCAGTGTGCTCTGGTTGCCAGGAAAGCTAATGGTATACTGGGCTGCATTGGTGGGTGTGTTGACAGTAGGTCCAGGGAAGTGATTATTCTTCGTTATTCAGCACTGGTGAGGCCACATCTGGAGTAATGTGTTCAGTTTTGGGCCTCTCACTAAAGAAAGGATGTGGAAACATTGGAGAGAGTTCAGTGGAGGGCAACAAAAATGGTGAGGGGCTTGGGGATGTGACTTATAAGGCAAGACTGAGGGAACTGGGCTTATTTAGTCTCTAGAAGAGAAGACAGAGGGGATTTAATAGCAGCCTTCAACTACCTGAAGAGGGGTGGGGGGGGGGGTTCAAAAGAGGATGGGGCTAGATGGTTCTCCGTGGGGGCAGGTGACAGAACAAGGAGCAACAATCTCAAGTTTCAGCAAGGGAAGTTTTGGTTAGATATTAGGATGAATTTTCTCATTAGGAGGGTGGTAAACCACTGGATCAGGTTACCCAGAGAGGTGGTAGAAGCTCCATCCTTGGAGGTTTCAAAACCTGGCTAGACAAAGCCTTGGCTGGGATGATCTGGTTGAGGATGGTCTTGCTTTGAGCAGGGGATTGGACTAGATAACCTCCAGAGGTCCCTTCCAATTCTAATTTTCTATGATTGATGTAAAATAGAACTAAAATGCACACTTAATTTTCGGCCTGTACCTGCATGTACAAACCAGACTAATTTGAGTAGATGCAGTAAAATAAGTCTTGTTCAAAATATACATGGTGCATATTACAGACTAATATTTATTCATAGTACTTACAAAATATGGTATTCATTAGCTTCTGCACTTTAGAATTCACACCCCCTATTCTGTACAGCCCTAAGATTGTGATACCTATAGGAGAAAAAAAAAGCAGGACAGCAAACTGAACCACTACACTTCAATACAAATAAAGATACAAGTGACATGCTGGGTGTAAGTTTTGAATATTCAGCCACCTGACTCCTAGCTAATATATTGGGACTGGGGTAACTAAATCCCAACACCATTTTAAATGATCTATAGTAAGGGTTGACAACGTATGGGTCCCGACTATCCTTTGAAGTTGTAGATAGGCACAAGAGTTATATCAGAATCAAATTATACTGATAAAAGCCATAGCAATTTAATTGTAAAAGTGTAGCAAAACTGTTGCAGCTTTAACACTGCTTCATTCAGAGTTAAAGTTGGAGCAATTTAGCTCACCTGCCTGGCTACAGGAGCATGCAGAGGCAACAGTTACATTGTAACAGCTGATGAGATTTCCCCTCTGCAGCAATTGCAGCGCACTTTTTGAAGTGCTTAAAAATTACATCTTTCTATAGTCTAACACTTTAGACAGCCATGTCCTAAATGGAAGTAAATTTAGTTTTTATAGTAATTGAGGTTCTAATAGATAATGTTCAAGTTCAAGAATTTCTATTATTTTAGCCTTCCAATTTCAGTAGTTTTGTTACCAGTAGCTAGACTTTCAAAGCAAAACCCTCAGAAATGATAAAAACTAAGTTAGCAAAAAATCTTGATGTAACCCTTTTTCCCACTCCATAGCTCCTTTTGCTCTACTGAGCTCTTAGGTGTAACCATGGCAAAGTAATAGTCTAATTAGTTTTGCCTGTCCCCTGAGGGAAACCAATTATATGTTGTCACAAAAACCTAACTGGAGCATGCTTCTGGTGATTCATTAAAACAAAACAAAACACCCCCCTCCAAAAAAAAAATCTCTAATACACAAATTTGCTTTTAATACCAATAATGTTATTAAATTTTGTCAAGTGTTTCAAATCAAGGCTTACTATTTAAAAATGCTTCAGTTGATACTGTATCTTAGAAATCGTGGTTCAAATTTTGTTTTCAGGTACAAGAAGAAAATCTTAGTGCCTTCACCTGGGTGAACCAAGGACTGATTGACTCTGACTAGTAAAAAATAACCTATCAACATCAGCTTGACTGTTATTTTGTTTTATCCCCATATAGTACACACACACTATACCACTGAATTACAGTTATTAAACACAAACTGCATGTCTGATAGAGGAGCAATAAAATTATTGGAGTTCTGAATATTATGTTTACTAATAGAAGAAAAGTAAAAAAAGACATTTTAAAAACAATTTTTCTAATTTACATAAAAATTATAAATGTAAAGTTTTTATGGAAACATTTTTGACAACTTTTAGGCATAATAAGCCACAAAAAGGAAAAGGTAAATGACATTAAGGCTCTTGACATGCATTGCACGTAAAACGATTAACTGGTTAATCCTGTTTTAAGAAGTGACATTCATTCAAGTAATGCTGTGAAAAAAACTAACAGGAATAAGTGACAAAGTTATTACACAAAATATGTGTAATAATTATGTGGCTGGTTCCTACCACACCTCTAACTGAATGTGTGGCCAGTAGTCTCTGCCTCTGCACCAACAATATGGTGTATTGTTGGGATCTATTCCTTTATCCCATCATTGTGCTTCTTTCCATGCACATGTGGCATGGCAGAAGGTGTGACTGCTGGGATCATACATCAGTTCCTGATGCACCTTCTTTTTAATGTCTGTTGGCTAAGATTCCAAAATGAAGTTAGGAAAAATATTTCCTATTTACTCACTGTGCAGTAAAATTTTTCAAAGTGAAAATATAATACCAAATAGACAATATAGTATATATAAGTTTATATGTACAGTATATATGAGATATAAAATTTAAGACATACCTCTTGTTTCCACAGCATGAATACATTTCCTCACAAAGTTAAAGCCTGCTTCATTTAAGAACACTATAAATTGAATAAAACCACATTATTTAATCTCATTTTCTGTACAGCTGAGCCTTTATGCTAGCCTCAACATGGTTTCTAAGCTGTTGTTGCTGAAAGCAAAACATCTAGAGTTAGTAGCTTTCCTTTATGTAATTGTTGATTCAGTCTCTACTCCTTCACACAAGGGCAAACACACTTTCCGATAATTAAAGAACTAACACACATATATTCAAGGTTTTTGCATGTATCTTTAAAAAAAAATAATCTAATATCTTTTTCTTTTACAAATAAAAGACCACAACCCTACCCCAACACTTGTATGGTGGAACGTTTGACAGTATAAGAGGATGTATATTTTAGGAATACCACATACACAGACTATGCCTTTCAGACCTGCAGAGACAAAACAATATGGGAATAAATCAAAACCAGATGCCTGCAGTATCCATGAGACACCTTTCCCTCAGCTCAGTACTTTGCTATCCTGCAAGAAGTTACACATATTTAATGTTATGCACAACTAGTTCTATTGATTTCAACTCACAGTGAATAGAAATAATCCTGTAGGTACAGGTTTAAGGAACCAAGGAAGGCCCAAGCTATCAATGATATATTTTATTTTGTTAAGATATATTACATACTGTGGTTGAAATTTTCAAAGATGCTCAACTCCAATATGGTTTCAGTGGAGTTTATGTGCCTAATTCCTTTAGATTTTTCTGAAAACTGCAGTCTTCAATTTAAAAGTTCTTGTTTTAAGATGGCCAGAAAAGGTAGCTAGACAAGCAACTGTTACAGTAAAACTATTAATGAACAGGGTCTACAAACACCTTTTGACATTACTATAGTAATGTCAAATTATATTAATATATTTTGCATTTTCACTGCACACATTTCTAACTAGCTGACTTCAATATTTTAAAATGATATATTCATTATAGTTAAAATAAACACCATCATGTAGAAAACGACAACTTAAAATTTTAACTAACCTATCTATATCAATGTAGGTATTCTATATCTACTTTAAGCTAATCTGTCTATATATATTAGTTATGTGTATCTAGTTATCTATCTGAAGAGAAATTGGCATCAAGTACACTATTTTTAGAATACATATAATTATATGTATCGCTGATTGAATTTTCCTTCAATTTTTACTAGATGTTATAACAATGTAAGAATTTTTCACAGCGTATGTAACTGAATGTTGGGATGGGATGGTCTTTGTTGAAACTTGAGAGAATAGTAATTTGCAGCAATACAGGAAAGATATTGTAAAATATCTGGAATTGAATATGCCAGAAAAGAAGCCTGCCTTATATATTTACAAAAGCAAGATTACAACTTAGAGTTCAGACCTAAAGATACTATTGAACTTATACACTTCATCCTCACGCACAACTTCACTTTCAATAACCGACGCTTCCTCCAAACGATAAGCACAGCTATGTGCATGAAAATGGCCCCACAATATGCCAACCTTTTATGGGCAACCTGGAAGAAGAATTCCTCAAAGACTGCACTGTCAAACCCTTGCTATACTTAAGATATATCAATGACCTTCTTATCATTTGGACTGAAACCTGCAATCTCTGATTGAATTCCTGAGAAATTCAATAATCATCACCATTTCATCAGATGATCTTTTGAATACAGTAGACCCCTGATTTACGTGATTCTGATTTACACGTGTCTTGCATTTACGTGATTTTTTATTAGGGTCCGGACTGGAAAATGCCCCTTGAGATGCATGTCATCTGTGTTTATATGCGAATGCTCATGAGATTCGCATATATACGTGAACGCCTCACAAGATTTGCAGGTGGAATCAAGCGGAGCTGTGCCGCCATTGTGGTAGCGGCATCTCAATATGCATAGGTGAGATGCCTAAAGGCGATTACACCAAGAAAAGGGGAAAAAAAGCTCTGACTAAGGTATGTCTGGGGTACACAACCCCTCACTATTCTATTATTTCCTATGGGGAAAGTCATCCCCATAGCGCACGGGCCAAGTCCCGGAGGACTGGAAAAGGGCCATTGTGGTCCCCATTTTCAAGAAGGGGAGGAAGGAGGACCCGGGCAACTATAGGCCAGTCAGTCTCACCTCCATCCTTGGCAAAATCTTTGAAAAAATTATCAAGGCTC